GCTTTCTGCCATTAGGGTGGCATCGTCTCCATATCTGAGGTTGTTGATTGGCATTATTATTAATGCCACTATTATTATGATAATAATAGTAGCATTAATAATAATGCCAATAATCTTGTAAATCAGAATATTTCTATCCATGATTATGTTTCTCATTTAAAGGTCATGTATGTGCCTAAGCACATGCTGTGCCTCACTTTTATCTCTTTTGGAACTTAATACTTTTCTTCTTTCTCATGCTATTAGTTTTTATTTTATTTTATTTTATTTCATAAGATTTCTATGCCACTCCATTCCAGAGTGGCTCTGAGCAGAAGTAATTTATTTGGAATATTTTATTTTACTGCTTATGTAGTTCTGTGAAACATAAACAGCCATGTACTTTAATACGATGATGAAATACTGGTACAGGCGGTCTCTGAGTTAAACCACACACAACTTACATTAGTTTGATTGTATGCAAGGAACATAAAACATATGAGCCACCATATTAGCACATGCAGAAAAAGCTGGACACTGCATACTTGCAGGAAGCCAACTACCATTTAGTGTATATGCAAATATGGCAGGCAAACTCTGTAAAAGTTGACTTGCTCAAGCAGTCCAGGAACGGAATGGTGCCATAAGCCAGGAATTGCCTGTATTAAAAAATGATTCCCATGAAGATTCTGTCGAGACCACATCCGCTCCAAGGAGAAGAGGCTGTAAAAGAGACAAAGAAGGATTTATGCTTGACATGATGTCCATAATATCGGATAATTTTTTTCCTTCTCTTTTAGGGGTGTCCCCGGCAGGGCCTGGTGTTGTAGTCATGCAACTCAATGTGCCCACTGGCCCCCAGCCTCCTCAGAATTCATCCATGGTGCAATGGAACCACTGCAAGTACTACAGTTTAGACCAGCGAGGTCAGAAGCCTGGTGACATCTATAGCCCAGACAACAGCGCTCAGGTAGGGAGATGGGGAAGGGGGCTGGTGGAAGAGGGAGAGAAGATTGGGCTGTCTTTAGCTGTGCTAATGCCAGCCAGTCACCATCCTTTTGATTTTTCCTGTTTCTAGGCCGGCAGCACCCAGCTGAATAGCCCTATCACATCCCCCACACAGTCCCCTACACCATCACCTGTCACCAGCCTCAACAGCGTCTGCACAGGTCTTAGTCCCCTTCCGGTGCTCACACAGTTCCCCCGGCCTGTGGGCCCAGCACAAGGTAAGAAAGGTAGTGGGGGAGGACTTATCATAATGAAGATCGCTCACTGTGTTTGCATTAGAATAAAGGGCAACTCCACATAAGTGATTTTGGTCTCCTAGACCTGAACATCTTGCTTGGTGTCCTATTCATGAACAGATGCCTTGTGGGTAGTAGTAGTGCCTTTACAGTTCCAGATTAAGCTAGTTTCACTACGAATTGCAGTGCCCAACCTTTAGAAAATTGTGGAGGAGTTCCTTATGGTTTTACACTATGATGCCAAATAACTACAATATTCTTTTAGTCTTGGAGCTTCAAATGAATGCAGTTCAAATACTTCCACCAGAATCTTTGTCTAACCAAGAACATGAGCATGTTAGCTGTAAATGGGTATGATTTCAACTGTTTGTCCATTAATTTATGGGGAAGTGAAGATCCCTCTTAATAAAGAAGAGAAGATTGATTAAGATCATATCAATATGGCTAGCAGTTCCTCCAAGAGGCACTGCAACCCCCAATAACATACATTTTTGAACAGCTGAAATATCATGAGACCGCTAAATTTCACTTAGAAAAGATTGCCGACATTTGATTACGATACTTCCAGTGTCCTCCCCTTACTCCTATTTATGATACAAAAAGAGAATCAAGTGCCATCAATTAACCTTTCTTGGGCTTTGCTTCTCCCCAGGTGACGGGCGCTATTCCTTGCTGGGCCAGCCGCTGCAGTACAATCTCTCCATTTGCCCCCCACCTCTGTTGCACAACCAGTCCAGCTATACAGCACACCAGGTGAGGGGGAGGGGGGAAGCATGAGGCCTTGAGGAAGCATTTCTCAGCCAAATGGCCAAAATTTTTCTCTTTGAGAGATGGGTCACAGAACCCTTTGACATCAACTATTTTTCCCGACAGAATCCTTTTAAGATTCTTTTCACTTTTAAAAAATAGGAAGCAGTCATGCTGCAATAGCAAGCAGTCATCCTCTGTTATCTTTCTTCTGAAAATTCTTCTGGGCTCCTTTAGGCATTCCTCAAAAACAAAAATGCCAGGTAGTTGCAGCCCAATACTTTAATATGGAACTGTGACTGCCTATTCCTGCTAGCCCAAAAGAGAAGAAAAAAGAAAGGCTGCAGAATATAGTATGTCTTCTGGTAAATGGGTGCAAGCTTTCTCTCCCCTGGCCCGCACATGCTGTCAAAACTCCTGCTGTACTTAAAACAGACCAAAAAGATGATGGGTATGACTCTGTCAAAACAGAGACTGAATATTCAGAGGACTAACTTCATGTTGAAAAACATGTAGAGAATACCGAGCTCAGATGTTAAATAATAGGTGAAAGATTTCCACTGATGCTGCTTTGTAATTGGCTCTGTTTGTGGTTACTGATGACATTGTGGTGATGGCTCAGTAAGACCATTGTCCTTTAAATCTCACTTTTTTCTCTAGTGAAACTCAAGAAAATGTTCGCCATGCAGAATCTCCCATCCGATTCCAAGCCTGCTAAATTTCATTTAGCAAAATTGGTCCTTCTGGGACCTAGTTGGTACTGAGCATTTCAGGAGGTTTGGTGTGTGAAACTAACTGTTCAAGAGTCTTGGTACATTTGTTAGAACATGAGAGATTAAACTTTCCAGGATCTAGCACCAGCTCCTGAAATGAATTCCAGCATATAAGTGTGAAGGATAGCCCTGTGTATCCTGTGTTATGATTCCTTTGCTCTTCCATCACAGGCACAAACAGGGATGAAGCATGGGAACCGAAGTAAGAAGCAAGCTCTCAAGTCGGCATCCACAGATCTCGGGACAAGTGACATAGGCAAGTGACTCCTCCCCCGCCCCCCCCCCCCGCCCCCATAGTATCCTTCTAGAACTAGAACATCACAACTCCAAGAATTCCTAGCCAGCATGGCCAAGTCCAAGTTAGCTTGGAAGGATCAAGTTGATGTAGGTTTGTCCTCTGCCAAGATGCCAGTGCCATTTGGCCATGAAAATCTGTTGTCTTACTTCGACCAGAGCTTAGACTCCAAACCCATATTTGATTATACCTTTGGGTTCAGTAATAGTAAACTGGTTTTCTATACTGCACTTTGCATCTGAAGATGCAGATGTTGCCCCAGGACATCTGATCCATTCCACTGCTGCTGATAACTTTTGTTGGCCCCTCTCCTCAACAAACATCCCAGGTGCCCCCTCCTGAGTGAATCCTAATGAACTTTCCTGGCAGCAACATCAAGTAGCAAAATCACTGCTGCCAGTGCCAAGGGGCTAGGAACTGTTGTATTGGCATCACACATTGCTTCCAACATAGTGTCACTATTTCTTCAAGCTTCCTAGAAAAAAACAGGTCTCCAATGGCTTAGAGATGGAGCTAGCCTTCTTCATAATTTGTCTCTTCTCCACTACTGCCTTTTCTCTCTTACCCATACTGGGTTTATAGTCATACAGCCTACTCTTTTTTCTCTGCAAATGCTTTAAAAAGAAAAAAGTAATAATGCTGCCACCCATGGTCTGAAGCTAAGCATTTCAGGAGGTTTGGTGTGTGAAACTAACTGTTCAAGAGTCTTGTTCGTGCTTGGGAAAGAGTAAGCAAAGTCGATTTGGACAGGGCAGGCTAAGTTGCCCAAAAAACTATCCATATCAACCACTGAGGATGCGTGCTGACAATTCCCCCATAACAAATTAGAGCTGTTCCTTTAAGCCACTCTGTTTGCACCCTCCAGTGGAAAATTGCCTGGTGCTATATTTGTTACATACCTGTTTAATATTAGCAACGAATCCTGCCTGCAGGGACCCAGCCCAGCTACTAACTGGAAACTGGAACTGCTATGATGCTCCATACTCGAGGCACACATTCAGGCCTACTGCCAAGAGACACAGCCTCAGTGGTGGGGACTAATTTCTTCAGCACAGAACCCTTGTGAAAATGATTCACAGTATAAGCTGACTGTCAGGAAAAATCCTTTTCTGCTTACGTCAACTTTCCCCAGCAGGGCCTTTTATTTAGGGATATGGAGACATGTAGATTAGATACAGATAAAGGTGTATACCCATACCTGCATTCTCTCACACACATTTCCCAACATTTTTGTTATGAAAAATCTACAAGAAAGGGATTTTTTTTTAACGTTTTATATGTTTTGCAGCAACCATTCTTCTGAGAATACATTGGGAGGACTGTATTTAAAGTGAGGTGGTTAGATACATCTCACCAAACTACATTTCCCAGAATGATTTGGGAAGCGGTCACATTTATATTGGCTGTATACAGCTTAGATCTCAGTGTTTTCCTATCCATGTAACAATAGGATTTAGTTCTGTAATAATAAGTTCTTTGGAAGACATTGTTTCTAATTTCTTTGTTTTGTTTTTTTTAAATTGTGCGTATAATGCCCTTCACCCAGGTTTTGCTAGGTGGCTTACCGTACTTTAAATTTACAATATAAATGATTGAATAATAATTAAAGCACACAATTAAATAAAAAAGCAGCAATTAGATACTCAAAAACATTATTGCAGCAAACAAATTTACAGTTAATATCATAATAGGTTAAGAGGCCCATAAGCTATAGACCTCTTTGCCCGGTACTGAAAAGACAGTAAAGCTAGCACCAGGCGTATCTCAGAAAGGAGGGTGTTCCTGAGTCAGGGAGGTTACCCGGGAAATGTGAATGGCCATTCGCTGAGCAACAGGTCTCAAACCAACACGTTTAACCATGCTGTTACAACCAAATGCACCAGCAGGATCCAAGAACATGCGTGGACCAACCACTGCTGCCTCTTCATGCATTTGTACACGCCCTCTCAAATCTCCACAAAAAAGGGAACACAGTACACAGACTACAGGGATGTATGAATGAGACTGGAGTCAGAATCTTGGAAAAGAAGAACCAGATTAAAGCAAGCCATCAACATAGATCTTTTGGGAAGGAAAGAGAACAGCTCCATTGATAATGGGATGTTTAAGTGTACACAGCGTGCAGGCACTTTGATTTGGTTGATTGATGCGCTTTCAGAATGCCTTTGAAGATGAGGGCACATGCCTTCATGTGTTTTTCCTTTTCTGTAACATTTTAGTTAGTAATTAGAGAATAACTTGATGGTGGTGGGTCTCCAGAGATGATGCCCAGGGTTTTTAGGGGCCACAGGTAGTTCTCTAGCTTCAAATTGGGCATCTCTGCAACAGTATGTAACATACTGTATCAAGCTAAGGTAATTGATGGCTTGAATAGGTCTCCTTCATTTAATGTACTTTGCGAAGTTGCCATCAAAGTGCAGTGTGTATGAAGGTGACAGCAGATGCAACAGCGCTAATATGCTTAAAACTAAAAGCAACAGTGCTGATGTTATTTGCTTTATATGGATTGTACGTGATGTTAGCATACAGTATTCTCTTCTCTAAAACTGATTGCCAGTTCCTCATGGTTCTAACATCTGGTAAAATCAGCTGGCTGCCTAAAGTAGTACATTTGGCTAAATAAATAGATTTTAGAACACGTTCATGGTATGTTTAGTGTGCTGGTAAATAGGGGTTCATTGCCATCAGCACCCAGCAGGACTTGATTATAAATCACCTTTCTTCATTGGGTTCCATGCCTTCAGATAGAATTAGAGTAACTTTATATCAGTTTTGAAAGAAAGACTCATTACATTCCTGTGTTTTTCCGTAGTTGGCTATCCCTACTAATGTCTAATATGGTGAAACAGATGGGGAGAAGCTGGCTAAGATGTAGAACGATGTCCCAAAAAAGGGAGGTTGGTGTAGCATTTTGCAGACATTGCTGAGGGACTGAGGCACTGATAATCAAAGCCTGGTGAAAGCAATTTGATATATGGAGATATGCATCCTGTGTTGCTGGAAAAAAGCATTTAAATGAAATCAGGGACAGGCTGTACTTTAGTAATGTAGCAAAGGAGATCCTATGCCTTGCTTGACTTAAGGAGCAGGTGTTCATTGTCTCAAAGGAGGCAATAACTGATTATGTTACTCTTTCACTTTCAACAGAGTGGGACTTCTAAAACGAACCTTCTCATGGGCCTTAGGTACTGTTTCCAGGGCCAGTAGCCCTGGGCTCTGAAGGACAAGAATTCAGTCCCATTTCTGTCAATGGCCTGCGGGAGTTGGTCTCCAAGTCAGAGGTCTAGAAAGTTACTAAGTTATGAAAGCTGAAGTTCCCTCGCATTTTGTTCAGCCTCTTGCTTTTTTCACAGAGGAGGATACTAACCATATTTCTCTTCCCTTCCTTCTTCCTTGCTCTTGCTGCCTCTTCCAACAGTGTTGGGCCGTATCTTGGAAGTTACCGACCTGCCTGAGGGGATCACACGTACCGAGGCCGACAAGCTCTTCACCCAGTTAGCCATGTCTGGTGCCAAAATCCAGTGGCTCAAAGAAACTCAGGGGCGTCCTGGGGGCGGGGGCGACAATAACCACGGGACTGCAGAGAACGGCAGGCATTCTGACCTTGCTGCCTTATACACCATCGTGGCCGTCTTCCCCAGCCCTTTGGCAGCCCAAAATGCATCCCTGCATCTCAACAACTCCCTCAACTGCTTCAAGTTGCGTATGGCCAAAAAGAACTACGACCTACGTGTGCTGGAGCGTGCCAGCTCCCAATAGGGGCAGACAGAGGGGCAGGGGGGCAACAAGCACATTGGACTGGCCTCTCCAGCCTCCCCCCCCCCCCCGGCCCCTTGACCAGCCTCCTTTAGTTCCACATGCGCCTCCCCTTCTTTCTTTTTTCCTTTTTTTAATTTTGGTGGTAGAGGGGGTAATTTCCTGGAGATATTTATATGGACAAAATGAAGAGAAGAGACATTGATTTGTTTTGTTTTTGTTTTGTTGGGGGGGTTCTGTTTTTTTTTTTTTTAATTATTTTTGTGTGGAAGAACATGTCCTGCCCTTTGCCCCCTCTCCGGAACACGTGTATATTGTTTCTGTTCAGCGTTGTGCCGCGGTACGGAGCCGTATTTAATTGCACATACAGATGTTGGCTGGGTATATTCACTGTACATTTTATTTAATCTGGGTTTATTATTATTAATATTATTATTTGGTTTTTAAATATAAAAGAATCGTCTGTCACTTTAAAGCTGTTTCCTGCCTACCTCTCTTTCTCAGACTGAATGTTGGGAAACCCGTCACAAGCATTGACCATTTTATCGCCCCAGGCATATGACCTTAGGAGGCAGGGCTGGAATATTACCTTATATTTGGCCTTTTGTTGGGGGCTGGGGTGGGAAGAGGGCAGGGTTAGCTATAATGAGCTCTGGAATACCTGAGAAGCAGGTAGTCAGAACCTATGCTTCTGTCCCAACACAAAAGTCAGGTAAGACGCTCTTTGGGGATGCTCTCTTTGCTGCTCCTTAATGCACTTTAATTCAGACGAACTACAAACAAAATTGCATACGAAAGGGACACATCAGTTAAGATAACAGAGTTTTTATATGTTGTTTATATATATAATCCTAGTTTGTATTATGTGACAAAACAAGGTACTTGTAAAACTAGTCATTTTTGTTCTCCTTCTCTTATCCGCAGCAGAAGAGGAGTGCATAACCTCAAATTTTTTTATGTAGCACTAAGTCAGCACTCCCTTTGGGCTCTATTTTGGTTGTGTTGGACTTAAACTCCCATTGCATATTGCCCTAAGAGTCTTTGATGAAAATTATAGTCTAATACATTAGAGTGCAATAAACTGTGATTTTAGATTTGCATCAATTATTTACTTTCAGTTGGAATTTACTCTAGTCAACAAACTTTCCCATGATCTTCAAATATGAATACCCAGCCATATTGTAAATGTCTTTGCTTCTGATATTTAGTTATACAATTATTGCTTGGTTTAACAAAAATCCAGTAATAATTTGGTGGCTGCTAAAAGATGACAGATGTCTACAGTCCATTATTTTAACGCTGTTCTATTTATAGAAGGAAGCTATAAAATCAGAGCTATAGGATACATGATATTATTGGTAAAGTCAGGGCTGCGTCAAGTTTTCCCCAATTGCATAATCTTTAGGCCATTTTGCTCCTACTTGCATTTTGTTGTCTAACTTCAAATTGCCTGCTGTTGAAAGAAGTATGGGTCAAGTGGCGAAACCTTGCAGAAGCCTTTTCCTACTCCGTTGGGCTGGATCTGCAAATCCCAGAATTCTCAGTCATGCTAGCCAGAGGAAGAATTGTGGGAGTTGCAGTTACAATACATTGGGAGAGGGGGTGTCAAGTTGACAATGGATGCCGTATAGGAAGAGGCAAGGACGATGGTTTTTCAGTAGCCGCTTTCTGCAGAGTTAATCTGTTATCTCATCCTTAATTAGTTAATAACACCTCTGAATTGGATGATTTCTTTTTTAAAAAACGTAAAAGCTCTTGGCAAGTTGGAAGCATTAGGAAATAAAGGTGTGTTTTTTTTAATGAATTTTATTCTGAAAAGGCAAAGTTGGGAGTTGCTTATGGTTTAATAATTGGCATGAAATTTTTCAGCATGAAGAAGGAAGGCTGGAACAAGTGATAGGATGCTAAACAAGGATTGCTCTGAAACTGTTCTGCTCGCAACAGCCATCCAACATCTAGGATTAGAGGTTATGAAATTTCAAGTTGCAAGACTGACGTCCAGGAAAGCATCATGTCCAGAATCTTCTCAGTTTAGAAATTAAAACACATACATCCGGTATCATTGAAGAACTACTGTATTATAAATCCACAATCAGTACCATATACAGTTGCAAGAAAAAGTATGTGAACCTTTTGGAATTTCATGGTGTTCTGCATTA